ATCGAGCCTGTGCGGATTCGACGGAAAATCTTGGTATTCGATCCTCATACTGTCATCTTTCACGAGACGTACGATAAGAAATCTCTCTTCATTCCGTGTGTCTATGTCAATAGGAGTCAAACAGGGTAAGTGATTCACGTACAATGGTAGAGACTTGGTTGAACGTTAGCAGTTCCACCAGATAACGAGAAATAATCTGGTAGCACAAAAGATGCAGTAGCCCTTAACTTTAAGCCTCGGTATGGTCGGGGTTTGCGACTTGGTTTGTCGCTGGTCACCCATCCCTTGCACTTCACGAGACGTTCTCATACGATTAAGAAACTCAAACAGCCTCTACTGACGAATCCTTACTCATTGCCTCCTTGTGGTGGAGGTGTTTTCCCACCAAAGTGAGAGGACAAAAAGCCTAGATCCGGATCACTGAACCATTAGCAGTTCACCCTGGGGGAGTTGACCAAAATCCCTGATTACAAACCAACCAAGAGGAGGCGTACAAACCACACACCTTCCCGGTTGTAGCGCAGTGTCATCAACACAGTAGGACATCGAGATGTATTGGGCACCGAAGGATGTATAATCCGATGAACTGGACACTGACCCCGGCCGCTGCCTCGTGGGTCAGACTTTGGCAAGTCAAATACCCTGAATGTGGACTCCCCAAGAAAATTTACCTGCCTCGGCCTGGGCAACCTGACGGTATTCAGTCCACAAACAAATCATGGAACTTTTTCCTTTTATAAAGATTATTGTATTTTCAACAGATCTGAATATGGGTGTGGTTTGTAGCTCAGATTATTGTATCATGATTTTCGTGGCACATAATCTGAATTCAGATCCAAGTCAAATACTCAAAGAAGATTTAGATGGTGATGACGACTGTCTGAAGAAGTTGTTATGCAAAGTTGTTATCGAAAACTCTTCAAACGGTTAATACCCCGTGTAATTCGGAAAAGAATTTTTTTCCTTTTCAAAGATCTCCCGCTGGATAGTAATTTAAATAACGTACACAGAATCGTGAGAGAATGTACGATATATTTACAGAATCCCTTTGAATAATTCAGAATGATCCTGATTGTAGAAAAAAGCTTGATTTGTTTTTAAAAATTACACAAACATTGAGGATTAATGTGTCATAACAGAGGACAGGGTAACCGAATTGAATTTAATGCAATGTTGTTACAATGTGGACAAATATCGCCAACCAAATAGAAGAAAACATACAAGACTCTTATGTTATCAAGCCCGCTAGATGTGAGAAACATGCCTCACGGTTACTTCGTTCCGGATTATCCAGCTTGCTCGACGGCCTGCGGTGGTGGAAGTAGTCAAGCGATCGAAATATAGCACAAGTAAACAGAAAGACATTTATTTGACGTTTATTTTTCCTTAGTATTATGCGTGGGACTTTTAATCTCTACTCCTTCTTTTTGTAACCTAGTATTTTCCATTGATCATTTTTTACTACTAACCAAATCTATACTTTTGACCGACAAACAGGTAAAAACAATTAAATCTAGTTTTCACTCGGCGATAAGCACCGATTGGGATGCAGTGAAGTGGTTTTGAAAACCGATTGTACAAGTCCTTGGTTTTATGTTCATTATTAACATTTTCTGTTACGGAAAACTTCGAGAGATGAGAATAGAAAAGGGGAGAGTGGGACAAACACCCTTTGCTTGATGGTATACCCAGCATGCAAATTACTCTTATTGGATGCACTCGTTTACAGTGAGTGAAGTGAATTCATTCCGTACAGACGACAGAGGGCTAGATTAGTCAGTGCAAGTTGCCTGCTTCAATATGATAAATGTGATGGAAATGTTTGTGATAACCGACAAAAAGCACTGGACAGCTGTTTGTCCTGTCGGGGACTCGTCAGCAGTGCGCACTTTCTGTGTCCCCATGTCAGGACTGGAACCTTGAACCTTCGGTTTGGGACTTCAAACCCTTAACCCTCAGCTACACGGTCAACGGTCATAACCATGTGCGAATGGTCCAATTACTTTAAACGGTGATTGTTTGAATTAGCCCATTCGGTTTATCGCAGGCACCAGGCAGTTCAGTGCTTTGTGTCGATCATCATAAAGATTTCAATCGCATGTAAATAAATTAAACTTGTGCGGAATCAACGATCTCCCAAAGAGTGAAACCCACACCCAAGACCATCAACAGTGCCTGGTGCCTGTAAAAAACCGAATGGGCCAATCCAAACACTCGCTTGCTTCAATACTTTGACAAAATGTTTGTTTTCTGTATCCCAATTTTCTGATCCAAACTTGTGCATACCAAGCATTTGAAGAGAAATATAATCGAGGTGCGGTCAGTTTAGAATGGCCATAGATTAGCAGCACTGTGATTTCGGTGATCTGACCGATTCTCTCAGCTCTTGCATGTCATTCTCGTCAACGTCATCAACATTGCTGACATTGTGGGCACCGCAGCTATCCATCTATCCTAGCCGGATACGATGAAACTGATGAAGCAAGCAAGTCCCATGGCTTAGATTATTAGCTCTGGTAACCACTACCTTAGGTTCGTCATGATCAAGTGATATACCACGTTGAGCGTCCATCATGACGTGCACTGAAACGTGAGGGAGCACTAGACAGCTGTTTCGACCTGGTTGGGTCTCATCAGCAGTGCAAATCACTCGACCCAATTGAGGATCAACAAGCAGTCAAGTTGTAAAAGTTTCCAACTGAGTCATACCTCCGGAGGCTAGTGCTGAGATGAGCGAGGTCCGTTGCCCGCAACAAGCTGGCGAAGACGGATTTTGTTACATCGTGCATTTTCCAAATTAGAAACGGTCCGATGCCCGGTAGTCGAGTGGGTAGTATGCTTGCGTTCTACTGCCTGTTAGGTCCCGGGTTCGATCCTCAGTTGGATTGATGGATTCGCACTGCAACTGATGAGACCCAACAAGGTCGAAACAGCTTTTCATTGCCTCCTAGCTTTTCAGTTCACGATTTATTTGCTTTATACACGGCTAATTCTCGTTTGAAATTGAATTCAATCAGCCATTACTCACATCAAACGATTCATGGTCTGGTCCAAACCGCAATCCCCAATAATGAAATCAAAATAGAGACGTCCTTACTGCACATCCAGTGGGTCCATTAAGAAGAAACAAAGACATACTGTGAGGGGTCTATAACGCCGACCTGAATCCCACTCACATTTTGAAAGCTTCATCCCACACTGGATTCAGACTGGATTTAACCGTTTTCGTTTTGAACTTCCGACTCAAATTGTCCCCCGGGCCCAGTTTCACTTTCACATACGGATCGGATGAACCACTTGGATCCATTGGAATCAAATTTTTCGCTTCTTTCACTGTGAACAAAAAAAATGGGATTATTTTAAAAATTCAAATCAGATTTGAAACAGAACATAAATAATGACTATCATTTAAAAGTCACCTATGCAAAAAGAAATGTTTGAAAAAGATAGAATTTGGGAACTGAGAACATATCGTGCTCGAGGTCTGCATATTTCGCGACTCGAGTTTTTTGTGCCTAAAAAGCATTGAAAATTGGTTTTCGTACCTCAGGTTTATTGGATCCCGGTTTCTGAGAATGTTTCATCAAGAGCTGAGGTAACATATTCAGAGAGTTCTCCACAGCAGTGTATTATATCTTTCCGTTCACTTATGCACAATGCCCAACCCCTTCCCGGGAGGCTTCCTTGGACCATTGTATCTGCTATTCTCAACTCAAGTCGCTATTTAACTAGCACTAAGAGGTGAAATTGTGTTTCTGTCCTAGTTGGGGTCCTTTGATCCGTTGGTAAGTCACGATACGATATCTGTTTTTGTTGTTTAATTGGGCCCTTGAGCTACATCGGCACTGGGTCCCCTTTATCCATCGCCTCAAAACCAAAAGAAGACATACTTCGCGAGATGTTAACATTTCTTGTAATTTTCTCAATCTTTGACGTAAAACAAACAAACGCATTGGTGACATATTGGATTTGTAAATCCTAGTGAACGAACATATACAGATAGGCAAGGGTTATCAGAATTAAAACCAAGAGGTTAACTCCAAAGTGGGTGAACTGACGGATTAGCAACGCCTCACTAATTGTCAACAGTTTTATATTGTAGTTAAGTAGAAAGGGTTTGAAAGAGGAAACGGGATCAATTATGCATTTGGCTGTGATGATGTGTGTTTGCAATTGATGACCCTGGGTTCTATGTGACCGCCTGATAACTGAGTGTGGATTACGTCATCAACTTTGCCAACCACTTTGGGATGTATACGGCAATTCGTTGTGATAACTGACGGTTGGTTCTGCATATGTATGCGTCACCGTAATCCCAGGTGAACTGGTATACACTGTGAGACAGAACTGCATTGCCAACCGTGCAAACATTTATCCAAAATGGATTCCACTAGGAGAGGCAATAAGCCGAAGTTGAGCAGCCGGGACTGTGCGGCTCAAAGCTGACTTTAACTTTTGTGGTGCATATTGTTCTGAAAGCGATCGCCCCTAAAAGATAGCTTTCTGGGAAACAGTTGACGAGGGGTTACCTTTTTGAGATTGTTTACTATGAAAGCTAGAGAACTGTAAATAGGCATAAGTGAGCCCGTTTTATGTGCTTGTTCACCAAGTTATTCAAAGAATGCAAAACCTCGGGAAATTCTCCTGCGTTTTATGGCTGGGGTTGATTCTTACTGATCCAAGGCCAAATTCGAGTTGTTGTTGTTTTTTTCCTAACCCGCGCGGAGTGGAATAAGTCCGAAAATAGTCAGTTGTTCTGGCTTTCATTTTGTTATCGTGAATCCTCGTTGATAATCCTCTTCCATTTTTGTCTAGTATGGTGTTTCGGGCAGTCCTTGTGGTTTATTTTGTAGACAACGTTACTTTGGTCTTTATCTAATGTCTTCTCCTTTAGCTTCCGAAGAATTCTTCGTAAACGGACAGTCGGTTTGTGGACCACGTGGATTTCGTATCA